CAGGATGTGTTTCAATACTGACAAGTGCAGGGTGCTGCACTTGGGCAGTAGTAATCGGCAGCACACTTATAAGATGGGAAACTCCCTTCTTGAGAGCACGGAGGCAGAAAGGGATCTTGGAGTCATTACTGACTCCAAGATGAACATGGGCCGACAATGCGAGGTCACAGTCGGCAGGGCTAACCGGACCCTATTGTGCATCCACAGGTGCATCTCAAGTAGGTCCAAGGAGGTGATCCTCCCCCTCTACGCGACACTGGTCAGGCCACAGCTGGAGTACTGCATCCAGTTCTGGGCACCCCACTTCAAGAGGGTTGTGGACAACATTGAGAGGGTCCAGAGGAGGGCCACCCGCATGATCCGGGGACAGTAGGGCAGACCCTACAACGAGAGGCTACGGGACCTGAACCTGTTCAGCCTTCACAGGAGAAGGCTGAGGGGGGGACCTGGTGACCATCTATAAACTCACTAGGGGGGACCAGAAGGGTTTGGGGGAGACCTTGTTTCCCCTAGCGCTCCCTGGGATAACAAGAAATAACGGCCACAAGTTGTTGGAGAGTAGGTTTAGATTAGACATCCGTAGGAACTACTTCAGTCAGGGTGGCTAGGATCTGGAACCAACTTCCAAGGGAAGTGGTGCTGGCTCCTACCCTGGGGGTCTTTAAGAAGAGGCTTGATGCCTACCTGGCTGGGGTCATTTGAGCCCAGTTTTCCTCCTGCCCAGGCAGGGGGTCAGACTTGAAGATCTACAAGGTCCCTTCCGACCCTACTTCTATGATTCTATGAAGGAAAATGGTCTGGAGATGAAACTACTATAATGGGTACATAACTAATTGAACACTTGTGTTCAAAGAATTGTTATCAATAGCTCAATGTTAAATTGGGGGACACGTCAAAGGGGTTGGCCAAGGTTGAGCCATGGCTCCAGTACTGTTCGATATCTTCCTTAATAAGTTGCAGGATGGAAGTGGGTGCACACTTAGTAAATGTACAGATAATGCCAAGTTGGTGGGGTAGTAGACACTTCAAAAAACAGGATTCAGATTCAAAAGAAGCTTGGTAAATTGGGAAAATGGTCTGAAATAGATGGTATGGAATTCAATATGGACAAGTGCAAAGTTTTACCCTAAGATGGAACAAATTACATGCACAAATACAAAATGAGGAACGACTGACAAGACTGCAACGCTAAAGACATGGACCTGGGGGTTACAGCAACAAGCTGAAAGGTACCAGTACAATACCGTTTAAAAAAAGTTAGTAGCACAAAGGCAGGTATCATCAACAGTGTTGTATGCACGTTAAGGGAGGTTATTCCTTGATTCCCTCTGGCAAGGCCTCACCTGAAGTAGTGTGTCCAGCTTCAGGCCATGCAGTTCAATAAGACATGGGCAAATTGGAAAGAAAAAACAGTGAAGAACAATAAATGATTAGAGGTGTATAAAATACAAAACATGAGGAAAGATTGGAAGAACTGAGATTATTTACTCTAGAGACGAGTGAAGGAGTGGAGTTTAACCATCTTCAACTACAAAAACGCTTGTTATAAAGACGATGGCAATCAACTGATCTGTGTCCATGGAAGGACAGGACAAGAAGGAAATGTCCTAAATTACAAACAAGGAGATTTAGATTAGATATTAGGAAGAACGGAAAAGGTAGCTAAGCAGTGGAAGAGATTACCTAGAAAGGCTGTGGAATTTCCATCACTGTAAATTGTTAAATGCAGCTTAGACAAATATTTGTTTGCAGTGTCCTAAACCAGGGGTTGGCAAGCTTTTAGGAACAGTGGGACAAACTAACGGAGCTCTGTCTGGAGGCAAGATGCAGCTTGCAACCCGGCTGCCAACGATTCCTCCTGCCTCCCAACTGCCACAAATGTCCCAGCTTCCTGGGCCCAATAAAAATGGCTTGGCAGGCCAGCCTACAAGCTGTAAATTGCCAGTTCTGTTCTAAACTATGAATGATCTTGCTTTCAACAAAGGGTTGAATTAATTGACCTCCTGAGGCCCCTTCCAGCCATATTTTTCTCTGATTCCAAGAATCAAGCTAGTTAGCATTGTAGGCTGTGCTATAAAATCATGCTCATCCTTAAAATGATCAGTTGTGTTCTCTTCTACTCCTATCCTATTTAATTTCTGGCACTAGGGAGCATGTATATGCTTACTGTACAATTAATAAATTACACTTTTAAAGAGATAAATGGTTTAAAAATTAATATCCAATCTCAGCTTAACAAAGTAGTTTGCCTTGGCTTACTTGTATACAGCTTCCCTCAAGATTTATGCTCCACCTAAATAAATGCTGTGAAAGACACTTCAGAAACGACAGTGAAATTCGCCCTTGTCAAATTTCCACCAGAAGGGAATCCCAAAGTGTTCTATTATTAATTGGTTATCTCCCTTCAAATGACAGGATTTCTGTTCAACTGCATCTATAACAAGTGATTTCTCTTTCCCTTTAATCCTTAATCTTTCACACCTGAGCAAATGATTGCCTATGGAAAAACCTAAGCATTTATTTCACCATGTGATACCCATTTTCTTGCAATGAAAAAATTGCAACAATAAAAAACATGTATTTTTCTTAATAATCAGAATAGTTTTAGAGCTACAGCAAAACTGAATTGTTTGGCAAAGGCTCAGAATCACTGGAGAAGAGTTTCTAAATATATATATATTCAACCTACATGAGAACTAAGCAGTTATTTATAGAAAATTCATATAAACGTTGCAGGGAAGGAGAAGAAGAACAGCAGGGGTCAGAGAACAAGTATAAAAGATGCAAGGAAAAGAAAAAAAATTGAAAAATTTGGAAAGTGACAACTGTAACAACTTACTCTAGAGAGAGAAAAAAGCTCCTAGAGTTATTTCTTCATAGTAAAAAAGTACTTGTGCAAGCTATGTTTAATCAGCACACCCATATTTCAGAATCTTAACCCTCCATATGAAAAAGGCTAGGAAAATGTTGCCCTTTATACTGTTTTACCTCCAACAGTTTATTTCACAGGATTCCCTGAGCAACATATTGTAACTGAGTCTTGTGTAACAACGCCCTATATGCTAGCGCTGCTTTGTGTCCCAGAGGAAAAGACAGTCCTCATCACAACTGAGCTAAAGTACCTAGAGGCTAACCACCAACTTTCAGTGACAGTTGGGTCCAGGTCAGTGTACCCAGCTAAGAGTGAGGGGCTCTGGAAATTCCAACAGCATTTAACACTGCCTCCTTTAGTTTTCCTTCCTTTCCACTGGGCTTCATTCTCAAGAAAGAACCAAACAGCCCAATACACATCGCATATCTTTACTGGGAAAAGCAGCCAGTGTACTGTTAATATGTGTGTGTACACTGAGATATAGATGTCAAAAGAGTCCGTGCAGAGCAGGCTCTGCAGTTACTGCTCTGGGCTCAGAGCACACAGTCGCAGAACTCCTCTTACCTGATCCCACTAACTGGGAATGGTCTGCAGACACCCGCTGCATGATACTTAGTAGAAGGTCCTGTCTGGTGTCACCCCAACTAATTCTTAGTTTTTGCAATTACCTATTATAGCCTAAATTCTCTAGTGACTGCCTTGGGTGCCCAACCTAAGAAGCACCAAAGCAGTCAGATTTACAGACCATGAGCATGGAATATTTGCTAAACATCAAACTCCTTTAAGGAAGTGTCTTATTGGGCTCCCTGAAAGTAAGGCATCCACAACCACTAGAAAATTAATAATGTGCCATAATGATGAAACTGCAAACAATCAGGAATTCCAAGGATGACACAAGCAGGCCTTTATCTCATCTCAAGATTAATCAGAACTCATACTACCACAATGTTTTGTCTGTCATTGATAGTCCTTCCTTTTACATAAGAGTGTTAAAAAAAATTAAAAGGGTATTTTCCATTGTCAGAAAGCCTTTAAACTGGGGCATGTCTGAACAGACTAGCATCAAATTGTAGAGAAGATACTTCCTCAACACTGTCCTCCCCTTTCCTCCCCAAACAGACCTGCTTGTTCTTCATGTGATATGGCTCACTTTGATCTGACCCAGACTATTTTTCCTGGGCTTTCAGTGTGTTCATTCAGTGCCCTGTACACTTAATAAAAAAAACTACTAGGAGAAACTTACAAAAAGCTGATCCTTCTGCTTCTCCCATCACTCTAAGAAAACAGATTCCCTGCAGCAATTATCTTTCAAAATATGGGTAGCAGCACATTATATCAGCCAGGCTTCACTTCACCCCAAAGACCCAACACAGCAATACATACCATCCTCACAGCCAAAACTAGGACACATAATCCAAACCCATCTATGCTGCTGCTTATCTGAAAACAGATAATGAGGGTGGAGCATTCAGACAGCATCCTCTTCCTGACAGAGATACTTGCCTCCATAGCAGCTTCAACCCCAGTTAGCGTAGGAAATAAAAGACTGGAAACTAGTATTTGGAAAATGCATTCTCATTCTCAATCATAACCTGGAAGTTTTCAAGTTCTATTTAAGGAAGAGCGTGACTTTTCAAGTTACTTCATATGCCCGGCCAATCTTAGTATAACTCGAACAGTGGCCATGTCTGGCCTGTTTCACTATTTCTTTCTGTGCACTGAACTGCACCCATAAACAGCATTCCCTCTAAGCTGCATGGCATGCGCGGGATGAGCGCGCCTGCAGGATGAGCACGCACACCACACAGCTTACAGGGAACACTACCCATAAACATAATGAATCCTGCATGCCTGCCCATCTCACTAACTATTCATTTGACTATTCCCAATCATGTCTCAAGACCATCTTATCAATTACCTACTTGCAACACACTATGCTGAATTCTTTCCTCAGTCGCACTCAGTCGGTGGTTCTTAACTGTGGAGCTGCAGTTATAGAGGCATGCCCTGAATCTAAAAGGGTTGAAAACAGCTGCATTAAGTTAACCCAGTTGGGTAGCGCAGGTTTACTGATGACAGAAGATGACCTATTCAGAACTGTGCAGTAAAAGTAATGTGGGAGGCTTACCTGATCGCGGTTCTACAGTCTTGTTGGAACCTACATCCATGAATACGAAGCGTCCGCCACCAAAGTCTTCAGCGTAGTCAGAGAGGTAAAGCAATGACGTATAATCAAAGGAGCCATAGGCTACCTAGGAAAAGAGAGAACATTAAGCTACCTTATTCTATGCTGGCCTCTGCAGACGGCAAATCAAAGGCATGATAGGTCTTGCCATTTGCCATTCTCCCATATCTGATTTTAGACATTAGACACTAGAAACCTCTCTAATGCTAGGAATGAAGTGCTCATTTGCTAGTAATTTTTAAAAGGCACTATTGATCTAGGTCAGCTTAACTCCTCTAGTTGTTCTTAAACCTAGAAAAAAAAGGATACCAGTCCCAGAAATGACATTTTGGCCTAGTGCAAAAAAGTATAGGAGCTCAGAGCTAAATATTAAACCAAGATGAAAACTCTCCATATAGGTAGTGATAAAAGGGATCCAAGAGCAATCCTTGACTGATTAATTTCACTTCCTATCTAATAACAGATAAGAAAGTGGTCTGGAAACCTCACCTTTCACTCCCTCACCTTTCCTCTCTTTTATCTGCTCTCATACAGTAACTCAAACGTGCTGATGAATCAGATCCTCTGAAAAGATGAACTTTTGTTAGATGAACAGCTCCTCTTTTCACTAAGGTTTGTTTAAAGAAGTTAATAGCTAAGGTTTCTTCTTTTTTTTTTTTTGGAAGCTTTCTTCTACAAAGAACTAAAAGCCATACTTTCAAACCCTTCGTATATAGTGTCTTTTAAATGTCATGATGCCTTCAGACTGATGTTCCCTTTCATAGCAAATTTCCTATTTACATCACTTTTTTATTTGGCACACATGTGCAAGACAGAAAAAGACACCCAATGTACATAATAAGGTGTGTCAAACTGCTTAACACTGTACTTATTTAGGTTCTGATAATATTTCTATTCCAGCAGAGACCTATGATTATCTATGTAATCCTATGCAGTTACCTATGATTAGAAAAAATATTTAAAAGCAACAGGGGTATTATTTGCTGGTTTCTTTCCAAAATGACACAACTTAATAACGTGCTTTATTTTCAGGGACAAGTGAAGGAATAGACAACAGGGTTGTCCAGTGGATTATACAAATAAGCAATTTCCGATTAGTATTCCTTTTAGCACCATGCCTGTTTTCGAGAACAGTGCTGTTTAGAGGAACAAAAACTTTGCAAACTAACAAATTTTCTAGATAATTTCTAATTAAAAAACTTAGATGAATCAGCACCAGATAAAGACAAAATTTTGTTTCAATAACAGTTGCAGCCACTATCCTACACGGGCGAGGAATACCAATGAGAATAAGGCAGGATTGAAAAATAAATTAAGACACCAGAGAAAGGTTGAAGATCTTTACATCTACTTCACTTTGCTAAGGGTTTTAAAAGAAAAGTTACAGTAAAGAGAAAAGGCTGCATTCCAATCTAAATCTGAAGAATGGAGAAATTAAAATTTCAGAGCACCTCTTTACCCTCTCTTTATCTAACCCTCATTAGCAATGCAAGGCAATTTGGACGGACATTTATGAAAGTGACATTATTAATGACATTTTAGCCAACACACTGACAGTTCATCAGCTTAAGGCTAGTAATAAATCCCCACTCCAGAACCCTCTCTTCTGCAGCAGCCACTGTCACAGAGAGCTCTCTTTTGCTGAAAAGAAAAATGTGCTGACTGGCACTCATGATAAGGCCGCAGCACTGGTCCTAGGACTGCTTGTGGAACA